GGAGGTGTGCCTGAGACGTGCCTGAGACGTGCCTGAGAGCGTCGCCCGAGTGTGCCGGCAGTCCGAAGTATAGTCGTTGTGTTGTCCTGCCGGGCGCACTCTCGGCTGTCCTTGCAGCGGTGGTCGTGGGGCTCCTCGGTCGGCGCATTGTGGGAGTCTCGGCAGTAGCGAGGGTAAGCAGCAACAATAACTCGACAAGTCGATACGACGCATAGATAGCCAAGCATTATCATAATACCTGACCGGTCCATGCATTCGCGAGTATTCGCTACGCTGCCCTGAGATACGGCAGGGATAGGAGTCGCCACCCAGGGCGAGCAGGTTGGCTTCGCCTGGCTTTACTTTAGAGGTTAGGTTAGCATACCTTATACCTTTAGCTACTTTAGTACTTCGTTTCAGATCTCGGCCCGTTTAGCCGCCCACGCGCTTTCTTCGGCCAGCAGAGAATCGGGAGAACCTCCTGCTGCGAAGCGTCGCTTTCGACTCTCGACTCTCACCGGGTATCTTCATCGTTCTCATTTCTGCCAGTCGCCACCGTGCCACCAAGCGGAGCATCCTTGAATTACGGAGTGGCAAAGATCGTATTTAGATAGGTAACCCTGGATCGGGACTCCTCCTGGAATTCGAAGATTGCCCGTGGCTTAAGTGGACTCGTTAAGCCGGTATTTTCATACTTGCTATCGCAGGCACGTATCCGATGAATATTTACCTTCAAGATTCTCTCGTTCGATTTAATATGGTATCGCGATGCCTATGGCCAGGCTTGCCGGGATAAGCCAGTGAAGTGCAGGGCGTATTTCTATGGCAGAGACAAGGAGTTCTTGCTGCCGAGCAAAAGCCTTGACAAAGCACCCTTAGACTGGCCACACAAAGCAGCGCCATACATCAGCGCCGCCACACGGCCGTCCCACTAACACGCGGTAATGACTCGTAATAACAAATTACACTCGATTATCTCTCTCTCTCTCTCTCTCTCTCTCTCTCTCTCTCTCTCTCTCTCTCTCTCTCTCTCTCTCTCTCTCTCTTTTCTTTCTCCCTCGATTCCACTACAGTGCACCCTTTTCTCGAGGTACTCTCTCTTGTTCCGCGTGGTCCCGCATCGTGCTCATACATACTATAGACACATTGCCACTTTTAGCATCGTGCTGCAACAGCCGCCGAGGTGCGAGTGGGGAAACCGGTGTGAATACGGAGCAGAAAATATCGCCTCGCTAGATTTATGAGCCTGGCGAAGGCGACAAAGAAGCCTGGAACAGTAAATAATGTGAGTCATACACTCGGGGCATATTTCACTAGAGAAATCTTCCTGGGAGAGAGAGAGAGAGAGAGAGAGAGAGAGATCCAATTGCCGTAAACTTAAAAATAATTCGCAATTACAGATACGACGTTACAGTTCCTGCAGAAATCTACGTAGAAATATCATATGAAATTATAAGTGATTACGGAAGGTTGAAATTTTCAAATTCAGCCAACTGTCAGGTTTGAGATATTAAGAAAAAAAAAAAAAAAAAGAAAAATCAATAAAGTCACCCTTGGCAAATCTCGAACTCTTGCGTAGAACCTCAAGCCTTCCCTTGTCGCAGGGATGACTGCTATCGACACGCGATACGTAATTTAATTAATTTCTGCGACTTTACCACCTTAGGAAAGGAAAAAAAAAAGGAAAAGAGGAACCCGCTCATAATATCCCAGAGGCTTTCCAGGAGCCACGCTTTACTTACGCTCTCATGCAGTCCTCATTTCCAATTTAAAAATAATGAGACTTCAGGCCGAGTACGCAAGCGGCAGTCCTGTCGCGCGCAGATACCCATCGACGAGCGACTCGGTCGCGTCAAGTGGAATGAATTGAAAAAAATTCAATTTAGAGTCGTACGCCGACTCCTTGTAAGACATAGGGAGCGTCTCAAAGCGACGAGAACGAGGACAACAAAGAAGCTGTGCCGTTGCCGGTGTTAGATGAGTAGACGTTGGCCAAGGGACGGGGATGAGATTTGTTGCCGGTAATTAGGGTCTGAAGGGCGTGGAACGGTGTCAAACGACAGTAAGATTTTTCACGTCTTTCCCGCAGGCTCCAGGGAAATTAGCCATGCTACGAGGATGCGTGTCCTGAAAGATGTAAAAGGTTCAAGGGGAAATCCTTCGCTTCGGGTTTAAGTAGGCGCGCGAGGTAAGGTTGGGTAGCCGAGAACTCGGTTGACCTGAGAAAACAACCTGGTAACTTTCAGCTCTAGGAACTTTTGATGTCGTCAAAGGACGATCAGGGCTACCAGCGAATCTGCCATTTGAAAGTTTCATTGCTTGCACCACAAAGACGACCATGTAGTGATCCACCCACTTGCGTAAAGGTATACAGTCCGTGCCTCTTAACGTCTTAGTATTCTTATCCCACGGTATACATATACCTACAATACTAAATGTATAGGCCGCTTTGTACCTTCTTTGGTATCCCGCGTAACTATATGGCGAAACTTCCCTACGGTGCTTTGGGACGCGGATAGGAAACGAATAAAAGCTGAAACTGGCAGTACGTCTTGAGTCTTGCAATAAAATGTAAATTCGCCAATTCGCGTCCCCCCAACGCCGGAGTCACTTCTCAGAGGCTTCTACAGTCGGTATCTATAACAGTGAGTAAGTGGCAAGTGCTCACGAACGGCTCGCGGGCTTCGCCATCATTTGCATGAGTAACGGCGGAACGCGGAGGCTAGGGTAGCAACGAGTAATTTATAGTCAATAATTCTTAGCGTGGCAATTTTCGCATCGAGCGTGAACGTTTCCTCGGTGAGCCGAGAACACAGCGAGAGAGCAAGACCAGAATAAGAGGAGGAAGAAGAAGAGGAAGAAGAAGAAGAAGGAGAGTGCCAAAGTGATCTTGGCAAAGGAAGAGAGAGAAGCAAAGAGGAAAAGGGAACCAGCAGGAAATGAGACGGAATGTTAAATAGCCTCCGTAGCTCTTAGCTCCCCGTCATCTTGGCCGTCCCTAAACTCCAAAGTACCAAAGGCGTCCCGACGTCGACGTCGGTACATATAAAGGTAAGATATACCGTTTCTTAGCGCTTTCGCCAGTTGGTGACGTCACGTGTTCCTTTTTCACATACCCTCTACTTGCACCGGGGTACGAGCTAGGGGGGGGGGGGCGAACGTAGGGGAAATGCCATTACGATGGTAAACCACTTGGAAAAGAGTTTCTACCATGAAAATATCGCTAGCAGTGTCGACGTCTCTCTATATCTATGGATCTACGGTTCGATGCATACAACAACTGCTCCCAGGATAACGCCTGTACCTTTAGGTCCTCTTTGCACTTTTATTTACCAACTACGACACCCCTTATATGGAAAGTTTAGCTGGTGCGCGACTCCAGGGCGAACGTTACTTGCCTGATATAAAGCTGCAGGCGTCTACTGCTATTAGATACGAACGCATCTAACTACCGTCTCTATATCTATAGCGTCATCGAGTGTCCCACCGAGAGCTATCAGACTGATAGAATATGTTCGACGCCGTCACGACGCTTCCAACCCCATCCCCCACCCTTCTCCCCCATATCGTGAAAACGTCCCCACTATTACCATACATACCGCTTTATTTAGAGCAGCTTTTATCGTCATCCGATGTACACCTTATATCATACCTATACCTTCAATGATATTTTCATACTCGAAACCTTCTTGCGGCTGCTGTTGGATATGTTCACCCCTTATATATTCAGTGTATATAGATATAGAGGTCGGTTGGAAATTTTTTAATAATACTATTCATACCATTGTTATTATCGTATGAATCGAATGCAGCGTAATGTCATTTTTATATTTTACGTCCTTGTTGCACTTTCTACAGTGTGTTGCGAAATTACGACAGAGAGATCGGTACTAATCGAATTACTCGTAATACTCGTTCACTCGATCCTATCGTGTTTTACTATCGCCATATGACACACCTTTAAGTTTTACGAAATGCCTGTACCGAATGCCAATTGGCTATTCGCAGCGTTCGACGAATTCAGCGCCCAATTGGATTGTAATTGTCATTGGTACCCTGGGTGTCGGATACGCCCGATTCGCGAGCACGTTGGTATGTCACTTTTTGCCGTAGCCCAATTTTACACGGGTAATCGATGTTCCGGGGTTGAGTTTATTAATTTTTTTTAATATCATAAAATCACACGCAACGATTCGTACTGGCTTTGATAACGGAAAAGCGTTTTTTATGGAAACAAGTTTTTAATGCAATTTTTTTTTGCGGTTCAATCAACGCTCATAGCGAATAGACGGGAAAAAAGAGAAATTTCTACCGAAAGCAGAACCGCACGATAAAACTATCACATCCGACGCACTTATGTAGAACGAACTGACGCAATATCAAGAAAAACTTGAGTAATCGATATTTCTGTTCGCACCAGTACGAGATATAATGATCCATCTTAACGGTTATCGTAAATTATGTTTCTCCTTCGAATTGCCGGCGAGTCCATTAAACTCTGTAGCGGAGTCGGCGTTCGTATTTTCTCCGAGTAGTAAATGCCCGTAAGTCGTCAGACGGGCAGTCGCTCGCATGCGACTGTTATAGGACCGGAGTGGATGAAGGCAATAGGAATTAACCACAGGGAACGGTGCCCGAAGTGAAGCTCGTTCCTTGTTTGTTTAATATGAAACGTGGCATAAAATGACGTGCAGTGGACGTCTGCGGTGCGTGACGGTGGCACGGCTGCCCGACACGATCTTGATCGCATCGAATTGGTTCCAGACAGGACGTGACCGCCGAAGCGCTTCGTTTCGGATCGGATCGGGTCGAGACAAAACACGCGATCGCTCATTGCCATGAAACCGTTTGTGTGAACTCACCTGCAGCCGCATTTCGAGCGACGAATCGTCGACCCTCCCACCGCCCTTGACTCATTTTCAGCTTCGATGTTATTATTATTTTCCGACGAACAAAAAATTATCAAAATCAATTGATACGGCGTCGATACGTTGAATTTAAAGAATTTTCTTTTTTTTCAGCTAAATCGACAACCTTGTCGACAAACATATATTTGGACCGAACGGATACGGGCGGACGGACCACGTGTGAGACGATGGAGCGCTTCCAGGTAAAACAGTCCTAACTGAGATCGCAGTCGAAAGCCAAGAGCCCGTATACGGGTCTGTACGTAAGTATAAGCACGTGAATCACCAGGCATTTACTGGGAGCGTAATAACAGCTCTCCGCGGCTCGTTAGAACTTCCAGGAACCCGGTTTGATCTTTATCGAGCGGCGTTGAAAATTACACCCGCCTAACGAGATTTGTCTAATCACGGTCATTTTGAGAATCGGAAACTGCTCGGGACCCACAAAATTTACACGGGGTACAAAAAAGGATTCCGTGTCTCTCTTCGTTTTGAAGACGCGGATGGGTTACGGGGATGAAATTTCGATTAGAAGAAGGAGAGTGGCTGGCTGTTATTTGATACACGAAAGGGTCGAGCACCCAGCCCCTATGCCATATAAAACCATACATATATACAGTGATACAGTAAACTTTCATTATATCCGAATTAAATAGTAATCACGCGCCGGCCAGTTACCGCGGTCCATTACGTGGACAGAGCCAAGTCTCGCAATCAGACAAAAATAATCCTATCGCCCGTTGTGAATGCGTCACGTTCAATTCGCCGTGGATTGACAGGCGAAATGTCAGATTGACAGACGTGACTAAAGCGACGTATCCGCGAGGTCCATACCTGCCAATAATTCAGGTAAACAATATAACGATCGGACACGATTTTCTTTTTTTACATATAATCGCGCTTAGTCAGAAAACTGACCCCCAACTACATTGGCGCATGCGCAGATACGTCGTGAACAAAGCGAAATCCAAAGACAACGGCCGAGCCCGTTATTTTCTCGTTGATTACGAGCATTACCTGTCGATTGGCATGGAGAGGATGATTGAGGGGAGGTAGGTGGTTGACGGTGGTGGGGAGGGGCGGGCAGGGGAGAGATAATGATTGAAAATAACAGGAATCACATAAACGTGCAATCACGTCAGACTCGGCCATACCGGCGTAGCTATATGGGAATGATAACAGCCTTCGAAGGAGTCGGATCATCCCAATCGAAGACAAGCATTATAATAATGAGCTTCATTATGTCCAGATTATAGAATTAGGACGTAGTCGTAATAAATCACTACCCCTGCCACGGTCTCCATCTTGAGTCAAGTCCATCAATCTTCCGAACCCATCGACACTCGACCATTTTTAACCTGTCAGCGGAAAGATGTCCCGACCCCCCTCCCCCTCCTTTCCCTCCCCCCTTCGGGCCCATCAACCCGGTAATTACTGTATTACGTTGCAAACTTAAAAACAGTTTAACCATATCCTTCTAAGCTGTGGATGCTGCGAGAGGAATAATAAAATTCATCTTCGCTGGACCAAAAGCGTGCCTCTCTTAACACACTTGGTATTCTTCGTATACAGTCTTGGACGTTATTACCCTTTACGTACTCTATGGTATTGTTACGTAACTTATTTAACGCCGCTGGAGTACCGCTGATAAGCCTGATCTCGATGATTTTCTGTCAGTCATTGAAAAAGATAAATTAGCATTTATAGGGCATATAATATGTATGCATTACTGTCCAAGACGAAACTGAGTGTTTCTTTACGTCATTTTAATTTTGGTACTTTTTACTCGTCTTCTTGTACCCTCTTTCGAGATCGGATCTGACGTAGGTTTAAGCAGAAAATTCATTGGTACTTGATGCCAGGATTATATCTCCGGTCGTTTCAAAGTTACAGCCACTTAAGTGTCGACCCTACGATATTACCTAGAGGGGCGTGTCGTATTTTATTACTTCTCGAAGATGAATCTTACTTGGACGTACCGAAACGGAATATAGTCATCTCCGTTGTACGTTACGCGTATATGGTAGCATGTGGATATTTTTTTTTTTTTAATTAAATACGATTTCTCCACGTGCTCCGTTTACCTTAATCTCGTATTTTCTATACTGCGGGACACCTTGAATGCTGAGAATTACGTTAATGGGGTATATCTCCTTTTAACTCGGGTCCATTTATAGTCTTGGTCGGAGGGACGACTTAAAACTACTGGATGCCGTCCTGCATTCCGTGATGAAGTTGCCGAGAGGAATATCGATCGGAGCCAACTTCACGATGGTAAATAATGTACGTTGATATGTTAAAGGGAGGACGAGTGACGATTGAGAAGTTGGGATACGAGAGGATTGGAATGCACTCAAGATTAGATCGGATTACTTACTTGCCCGACTGTACAATATATGCATTTTCTATGGTGGAATAATTATTTGAATCTGACTGTACTATTTTCGTCTCTGTCAGTCGCACTCTTAAAACGGTGATTGACGCGGCTTGTTACCTCGATGAGTATCCGCCTTTAAACAACCCAGTCGATACCATAAATGTTTTTCAGGATTCCCATCTGGAGCTTGTGCTATTCCGTCTTCGAAGACGCTTAGCCATTTCCGGTTGGTTTCTTTTGCTGTCTTATTCTCCTGGAGATCATTTATCTGCTGGTGCGAAAGGAACTCGATAGCGATCCGCACTTGGGGAAGCAACATAGAAAATACAAGTAGCGACAGTAGAGAGGATGGTATAAAAATAAAAATTTTATAATTATTGAAAATAATAATAATAATTATCGTTTAGGTTAGATTTAATTTTGAAATTTATGAATTTTTATATATTTCACTGTCAGATATTGTCAATGGTGAAAAAAAAAAGAAGTTCTGTCAGAAGTTGCCAACCTCAGAAAATTAATGTATCAAATTCTGCCTCGCCGTCGCACACAAGCTCCCCTATGCAAATACGTTACCACGTTTCGTGTTAAATTTTCGATAATTAACCCCACAGAGTTAATGACCCTAACCCTACGTCGGATTGGCACCGGGAATACAAGCTCGCCGGGCTGGAAAGTCAAAGCGAGCTGGCTAGTCCCGTATATGGTAGCAGTGAGCTGAGGTCTACCCAAGTGATCCAAGTGAAAAGAGTGGCGAACGTGTGCTAGAAGAATAGAGCAAACAGGGAGGCCGAGAAAGAAGCTTAGCGAGTCATCCTCGCTTTCACGGCCTCCTACCGTTCGGCTATGGCGGCTGTCAGACGTACAAACCGCCAGACATTAATTACACCAGAAAGAGATTAATGAGAAAATGTGCGTGCAGGCAGTGCGATAATCGAGCAGAGCGAAATGCTGAGTCAGGAAGAGAATAATGCCGCGGCATCTCCATCGTGGTCACGCTTCTTCCGATATACCTTCAAAGCCCGTAGGAGACCATACCCAGAGATCGTCCCGATAGGTAGCAGCCTTAAGGTCTCTCTGACTCCCGGTCGGTACGATCGTAGATATGCAATTTTTCTCCTTGACGACGTCACTATGAAAGAAAAAAAAAATAAAAATTTTGATTTTTTCTTCAAATTTTTCATCGATAAAAAATACATCGTACAGGTACGTTACAGGACATACCGTAGAAAAAAATCAATTCTCGTTACACTCGATCGCCTCAATACATTGAAAAGATAATTTTGGGATTTATGAATTTTTGGAATATTTTTTATTAAAAATTATATATATTTTTATTTTGTTGTCCTTCGCGCACGGACCTTATTTTTAATAGAGTTTGACGTTCCGCTTGACAAACTGATGCGGCACAGGAATGATCGGAATTGCTCGAGTCCGTAGTTCCATTCTTATTGGCAATCGATTTGGGTTTAATTTAAAATTGAAGCGAGAATGTTGATTCTAGGAATAGGTTTTTCAGAGAATTTCAAAAAAAAGGGCGTCTTTTCAATCGTCGAACGTTACGAGGCAATACCAAAGCGTACGTGGAGTATTAAAAAAAAAAAAAATAGAAAGTCGCGACACCTCCACATCAAAAAGGCATATACGGCAGCGGCTCTCCTTTGGCCTGTCAGTTCAGTCAATGGTTAATTTTGTAGCAATAACTTGGGCCAACAAAAAATGATTAATCGTTTGATTATAAAGGTTGGCAGGATACAATGGGTTGTTTGTGTCGTCGTCAGACGGTCGGCCGGCAAACGTCACTCGCTCACTCAGCCGTGCAACGTATAATACGCGTGATTAATTAGTTTTTTCGATGACGCTGTGTATATCTGCTCGCCGTCTTTACCGGCGCTACGCCAAAGCCGGTTTTACGTAGGAGCGTCAACGGCAACGCCAGAGCGCAGGACGGTTCGTGCCAAACTTCTACGTCGGCGAGGAACGCCGAAAGCGAAGACGTCGCGACGCTCTTTTTTTCTTACGACGCCTCCCTTTGACTACAGTCTGATATTTTATCGATGCCAAACGTCACAAAGGCAAGTATTCGGGACACGTGGCGGCGGCACTTCGAGCGCGCGTAATTTAAAATTAGACAATCAAGACAGTCGCTTGAATCATATATATATAGTAATAGGTGTTTCGTATAAAACGATATAACGTATTAAGAGTTTCTATATTTATTGGATATTTTGTTATTTCGGAAAATTGCTAAATTTTTTTTTTTTCTTCGAGAATACACGTAAAGTAGATAACAAAAGTAATATATGCTTGGGTATATTAAATTTTCGTTGACAAATATATTACGTGTGTACTTTCGTAAATCTGTCGCTTTGAATTTCTTTTTTTTTTTTTTTTTGGTAAATAAGTAAAATCTTCAATTTTACACCTTGATTATATTCCAAGTCCGAATAATTTGATTGCCTCAAATTCAACAGCAGCCATATTGCTTCCGCAGTGGTAAAAGCATGAAAACGAAGAGTCATCGTACCGAATAATTTTCTTCCTCCCCATTATTCTTCCTTGCCAACTGGCATTCATTGTTTACCTTCGCCATACGATAATTAAACACTACGGAAGCGTGAAGCGTCAACCTCCCGTCCAACCCCTTCAATCTGTTCACATCAGCATAGAATATCCACTCGAAAAATATAGACTCTATCAATATAAGTAATTACTCGAGGCAATCGTAAAATCGACAGTTTAATAAAAGTTTTTCCCCATTCTCGCCAATAATCGACACCCCGATAAGAAAAGGTGAAATTCTGCAAATTAAATAAATAATAACATTCGCAATTCCAAAAATAAGCATCAGTCAACTTGTACCTTACCCCAATAGAATATCCAGTACGTAAGCCATATTGAAAGGTTACCAGCCGCTATATACATATAGAGCATTTACAGGCGGTGGAAGATCGAGGTCACAGTGGGTGGTCCCCGATGAAATTTTAATGAACCGTTTCTGTCACGCTAACCGCGAACCAATGGCTCCGCCATTGAGTCTCACAGGAAGACTGAAAGTGAGCTGCACCGAATTGAACTATCAATTTTTTTTCCTAACCTACACCTGCCCACTTGTCGGCGGAGTGTAGCCACTCAATTTATATCGGGTCTTTGGCTAGATCGATTTCTGCTTTCTGTATTGGGTATATATATATATATATATCTAATACCACCAGAAAATAGTACGATACCATAAGATCAGGAGCAAAGTGTCGAAGCGAGGATACGTATGTTGAAGGCATACAAAAATACTATAGCTAGGATCCTATAGTCAGAATCGCCATGGGATTCTCATAGCAGGTATACCAAGACAAACGAGGCGTCAGCGTAGCCCAAGTGGAAGAGATTAGTCTTGGAATGATGAACGGCCGACGAAAAAGCACGTTACGTGCCCGAACTGTACATTACCGTGGTCTTTTCGAGTCTGCGGCAAAGTATAGTGTAAAAGCACGAGTGGCAAAAGAGAAGAACAAGGATATCCGAGGTCTCTCGCAATTAGTCAAGTTTTCCTCGGGCGACCGTGTCCGATGAGCTTATTTATGGGCTTGCGGAATACGTGTAAACAACGAAAGGTGATGCATGGCGAGGGTCGCGAGTTTGTTTGTCGTGGCAGGGGAGGTGAGAGGGATTTAAAAGAGAATGTGTGAACGGGACGAGGTAAAAAAAATGGTCGGCTCCTCCAGTGCGAATCGCGTTCAGGAATATAATTGATTTCAATGCCAAAGAGCAGTGCACTTTGGCAATAAGTTAGCATTAGGACGCGTTCTTCCAGACTGCGCACCCTTACGTCTGTTCGTGTGACAAAGGGCGCATGCGTCATCCCCCCTCTCCGCCCCTCCGAATCCCGACTCGATGATTTCTCTTCTTTTCGCTTAACCGCGTAATCGATTATTACGGGCAATATTTCCTTCGGTAAATCCATAGGCATTGTATCGCTCCCTTGGACCCGGGCTGACATAAATTGTGTTGTACAAATACTCATAAAGATCAAGTCGAGCGAGTGAGAAACGGCGTTGTAGGAAAAAAAAAAAGAAAAAATAGTATCATCGCCCCTTACGATCTTATTGTATTATTTATTATACTCTTTTTTCCATTTTAATTTTTTATTCATTCATTATTTTTACACTGGAAGCGACGACCGTGAATAAATTAATTTCTCACAGAATTTTTATACATCGTATAAGGTACTGCCAACGGTCGTACGTTATATCACTATACGAGGACGTATGCGGTGTCAAAATTTCCTTTGGAATGACCTGCTGCTACGTTGACCGATACACGCGGCAGAGTTCAATGGGATTTATACAGTATATTTGATATATCTGTAAGTACAGCCAGTGGAGAAAATATCTGTAATTCGATATTCGCAGGTGTCATTAAATCCTGTCAATATCGAGTCACGTCTCGTGTGAAGGGATCCTGATATAAATTCGTATGCAGCTGCCATAGGGATCGTGTGCGATCGCGATAGGAGAGGGACGTGTGCTCGTTGCATCCTGTGGACACCTTGTGGACACGTTACGTGACGTAATTCAGAGAGAAGGAACAGATCGCGCGATACGTCAGTTACGAGTGGAATCAATTGATAAGGGATGGAAATGCAAATTTTTCTAACGACAAAATTACTGTGGTACCCAGCTCCAGCTCAGATATACTCGGGCAGGCGCCTAAACGGATATCCTGGTGGGTTTGGATGGGCGACGTTTATCCTTGGATATATTTATCGATGCAATGGCGTACCTTATCCGGGGTTAGATCTTTGGTGGAGAACAGGGTGCGAAATGGGCAAGGCCTCTGGCCACATAATCTCGTTCCCGTGGTAATTGCTTCCTAATCGCAGGGACCAATCAGCCTAACCGCGTTACAGTACGTAACTCGTTTACGGTTGGACGTCGGACCAGTTCGGAGCACATCGAAGGGGTCGAGTTACTTCGTTCCTATTCTATCCAGGGCTGACCAACCCTCTCTTGACTTGGTCCTCACCAATCCGCTACCCTTCGAGAGTGGACCGCCGCAACGCACCCTCCCGCCGTGGTCAGTTAATCGCGTTTCTCGTTTGTCCCCTTGTCCGACTCGCGCTCCAGCCTGGAGACGTATGGGCTCGGCATTCCTTTGGGTTTTGGGGTAAGGTTCCTAATTATTTTACATACGAAGATAAATCACCGACACCCTTAACCAGACCAAGCCTCCCGGTACCCTTCCTTGATCTTGGTCCACTTGAGAAATTGACAGGTAGGCTGGCTGAAACATTATTGTGCAGATACATATATTAGATTTTTCGTATAATCGTTACGTCACGATATCGGTATACGCATTGAAAAAAAAAAAATCGGCATAAAATTAGAACCTTTGGTAAATGTTGAAGCAGCTGTTAAATTGAAATACGAGACGTGAGGGATGAAAATTTTTTTTTCCCTCAAAGTCACGATCAAAGTCTTGATTCGTACGAGGTACTAAGCCGTAATGTAAAATAAGACGTAGCGGTGGGTCCGAGCGAGAGGAAAATAATTCGAATTATAAATGGGGATGGATCCAATTTGTGAAGCTGCAAACCAATTTGGCGAACATTAATCACGCTCGACAAATCAAAAGGTATAATTCGCTGACGAGTTCCTCCGGAAACTTTCCCCGTTTCCTCCGCGTCTCTCCGTCCCCTCGTCCACGGGAAATGACGACGTCCTCCTCGTCGGGCCTCGGGCTGTAAAAGTAAATCAACTTATTCAGCTTGCAGAAACATCCCTTCAGGACAGCTTAGGAATTACTACGTTGACTCATGGGATTATCGGTGGAAAGTATTTCCCGGCTGAGACGATTGAGTTGAAAGACTTTAGCAGTTTATCGAATTGGAAGCTGCCTACCTCACAATTACTCTCGAGAGAGATCCACACTCTCGTTGGTCTGACATCGCCGAAAAAACGCACGCGGAATATGCTACGGATCAGTACCATTTGCTATCTGGAAGATGTCTTTCGGAAAAGGAATAATGTATTCGCATTATATTCAGACCCGTGGATGGTGTACAATGGAGGTTAGATGTGTCAGTATACATTGTATATATATATATATATGTACCAGCATACAGATTGATACCACAACCTGGTAGACAGACCAAGACGAATCCGTGGCTTTCCAATCCATTTGCTGGCACATCGAGAGGCTCCCAGTGATTCTCCTCGTTTCAATAATGAATCGATTGACCCTTGAAGAAAGACAACGTCCCTTAACCTTTCAGAATAAATGATGATCCGACCTCGGAGAAGTCGTCGGGAATTGTAACATCTTCAAGAAAAATATACAGTAAAAATATGCAATGCTGCACTCTTATACGAATGCTTGAGCATATAGAATATATAATATATAAAAATTTTATATAATTAAAATATTAAAAAATTTATGTAATTTCGATATATCTCTAATTGCTAAAGTACCCATCACTGTACCGAAGCCCTTTAGTCACTGATTCCCTGACAAAACCAAATTCGCCGAATAACATCGAAAACCCGACGTCAGTCAAGAGACGGTAGGACGTCGAAATCCGCCGGCGCCAACAAATCCGTTGAAGGACTTTGCCCAAGTGCAATATCACTTTCTTCGTCCGTTTATCCGTCCTCGTCGTGAATTTATGCCTGACGCAGAACATCGCCGGAAGTCGCTTCTTGACGTGGGCACTCGGCGTCATTTTCTTGCCTGGTACTCGGGCCCCGACACTTGGCACTCGACATATTCAGCCATGGAGCCAGGCACCATTGCACGCTGGGTACGCGAAGACAGGACGCTTTAACGTCCCTGGGATGTCCTTAGGGAGTTGGTACACTACCGATATGTAAAGGACGCAACAGCTGGATACGTTCGAGAGGGTTAAAACGGGCCCGAGTGAATGACTCGAAACGTGTTTCTATTATAAAACAGGATCGTATCTCAGCCATAATAATTGGCTGGTCGTATATCTACTCGAAATGGCTGCTTAGCAAAGCAAGTATCCGCAAACGAGTTGGCTGCGCCAAGGATAATTTAATGCTACGTTAAACTGTCAATGCTGATGAACGTCGTGTCGTAAGAGGCCTCGTAAAGATGGCATCGCTCTCTGACAACCGATATAACCGGAAGGTATACCGCGTACAGATATACTATAGCGTAACAATCTGCAAATAAAAACCAACCGTCTCATCCATACCTCAGCATTTGTCTCTTATCCAGTTCCACTCCCGGAGGACGACTCCCTCCTCGGACGGCTTTACGTTCCCTTAACGCGAACCTTTTCGGAGTAGACTTCCGGTTGGCCAACGAAGCCCTGGTAGGATTTCGAATGTTTTCACGAGACGCTAAATCCATTATCCCAGCCTACGTATACTAATAGTATTTTGAAAATTGCCTTTAACGTCACTTTCTAAGTAATTTGATTCGTTGAAAATGCTGCCTTAAGGCTGTGAGAATGGCCTTGAATATTTCATTTAAATAACCTTAGTTTGGTACTCTCGATTAAATTGGTGTATTGATAAAAACTTTTTTTCGCATCTACCGATGCATCAGGTACGTATATATGTATACATAAGGAATATGGACGTTGTCGAGGTTGGCCATTCATGAATACATTATCCTTTCTAACGAGGCGAATAGGTCAAGTAGACGGAGTCGCAGTGCTCGTCCATAAATCACTCAAAGGGCAGGCGAGAGATCAGACTCGACCCCGCAACCTCAACTCAACTCGACTTCTCATGCATCTGCTTCCGCTTTTTGCCAGCGGCGGGTCTCGTTGTTTTATTCAACTGTAAAATTACGGCCCGTCATCCGTTTCATTTTTTTTTAAATTTTTTTTTTCATTTTTTTTTTCGTTCTCTTATCCAAACCTGCACGCAGCACGACGCGTTCCACATCCTGGCGCGAGTAGAGTTCCAGGGCTCTTACGAATTAAAGCCGAACGGGGTCTCCGATTTACTTTTGGTTATCAGGAGAGTTCACGCGAGACTGTAAACTAGGTCAGATTATGACATTACAACGCGGGTGTATATATACGTATATATCGTTGCTCAGTTGATCCATAAAAGCACTGAAACGTCATTCAGACAGAATTGATGACACCGTGCGACTGGTACTGATCCATTCTCTTGGCCGGTTGTATATGACAATAAATTTAATCGTCGAGTCACGCGTCTGATAAGCGAATGAAAATTTATGGGAATGCGAGTATGTCGACTGATTATTGATTCGTATTAGCGTGACAGTCGCGATGTACTTCGCGGCGTGAAAATTCCTGTCAAATTTACTTCACTCGGTATTATTAATTAATGACAGATTCTGCATGGACGATCGATTTGTACTTTATTATTTAATATTAATCGACCCGTTGCCACAATTATTGGTCAGGCACCTGTGAACGCGACCCGATCGATAATTGCCCATTGAGGCCGACACGTGTGATAATATTCTTCAAGAATCATGCACCCGTGCACACAGTCGTTCCACGAGTCTCTCCAAAAGCAATTTTACTCGTGAACACGCTATAGTAAGAGTCACGTGGTTTAGCTATACTGCAAACACTTGGTCCGTCCATGCTCTGTCTGAAGTCGTACCTTAAATTTAGATTTCGATATATTATATTTATTACCCAATGTAAATATTTCAGTATCGTCTGAAGTTTTTTTTTTCTATTTATTTTTCATCTATATATTTCCGCAAGCATCTTCCATCGTATTTCCCTGCTTGCTACGTAGGACAAAATTTATTGCTCTTCGTCACCGCGAGATTTCGAATATTACACGAGTGCCAAAGTATTTACGTTTGGCATTATTTTGCCGAAAATTAACATCACGACGTTTCGTTCTGTAACGAACGACTTTAGGTGGTTCGGATGAGAGGAGTTTTAATGGTGGATTTATTGTGAGAGAAAGAAAACAGGACAAAGACGTCGATAGAGTAAGAAACGATCTGTTGTATTTCAGTTTTGCAGAGATTCAAACAAGTTCGAGTAACGTAGTAACAATAATAAAACAATTAATTAAAAAAAAAAAAAGAAGAAAATCATCGTACAGAGCGAGATATTGGGAGAGTTTACCGGAAATCGCAGATTTTAACCGATAGGCGCTAGATGACGTATACGGACAAAGAGTCCGTCAACGTAAGAACCACGTAGCTTCCTCGTGAGCAACTGTCTTCTCCTGGCATTCTCAATGCCGCAGCTAACCACAATAATAAATCCTATTTACAATCGATATTTATAATCCATACTCGTAATAGTTGTTTATCCATGATACTTTTTTTCTTTCCTTTTATCTTTTCCTCATCGTTTAAATACAGAATGTCATGTACACACGTAACGTTAACGCGCTATATAGCCTAAACGATCGATACTAAAACTTTGGTTACGCAAAAATAGACGCTGGAATATTATTATTATTGTTGTGTTGTTATTATTATTAGCTGTTATCATTAGTTATTATTATTATTATTTAATTATTCGTTATTTCGTCGGATACTCCTCAGGCTTACGGGCATAAGACTATGAACAAATTTACAGTAATTACAATAAAGATTGGATATGAATATTAATTTATAAATAGTGCACATAGACTGATTACATCAGATCGACTAACGTGGAAAGTCGCAAATACGGAGCTGAAAATTGAGATCCATCGGTAATGTGTATCGAGGCGCGGTGTAAACCCGAGGATCGTACCGGCAGCCATTTTTTTTCTTTTTCGAAAGATCCTAAAGACAACGGGAACGATAGGAATTGTATTTGGACGAGAAGAATTTACGTAGCGATCGATTTTTCGAAATTTGTCAAAATTTATATATAATTCAAACTCTACCCTAGATCGTTCCCATTTATTTTAGGATTCAGAGAAAATATGTATATCTCGGATGAGTTTTCGCACTCTACGCGTGCGCACGCACTTACGTCAAATCGACGTTCGATGATCGACGATCTAACTTGACGTCTCTGCGATCCCTCGTAGAGATCTTGGATAGACGACAGTCCGTCGAAAAGGCACGGGCACGATCCTCGCTACTAACCACCAAAGATCTACGCATCCAATTGAACCTCGGGAGGCAGGTAGAATGATACAGAGGATCATTATTTGTTAGCGATCATCGAGGAGGAGGAGGAGGAGGAGGAGGATGACGATTACGATGACAAGGTGGCCCAAGGAGGATATGGGTAAGGATATAGAGGATCACCAGAGAAGCACCTCGAAAGCTAAAAAAAAAACGAAGGATACATAGAAAGACCGTCCTGATCTCGTGGATGACTCGCGGATGTCCAGATCGTCCGGCAAGAGACGTTTTCCGTAATCGCGGCATCTCCCGAGAGAGACACGGAGGGACGCTCGCGTCAAAGCGTCCCCGTAATCGGGAATCACAGTTAAACGTTGGTTTCTTGAGGCTTTGGAGTGCGTCGGGACGCCTCCTCGAAGTACCTGCGGTGCTGGGCTCGAGCTCAGGGATGCATTCCCGATGCGGCGCCAAGACGTGGACCACCGTAGAACGAGTAGGGCGAAAAGTACGGGGGTAGGCCAGCGGCTGCTGGATGAGGATGAGGCGGCGGAAGGGGAAGTCCCAGGGATGATAACGAGGACGGTATCAGGGGCGAGGGTTTACCGTAGGGATGATAACGCGCTGTGGCGAGAGGACTGAGCGGGGGCGTGGGATAGGTCCGCGACAGGAGAGGATGAGTCGGGGGTAGACCAGGTGGCGAGAGCAAGGAGAGAGCAGCGGCGGCTGACGGGTCACCGGCCGAGACGCTCGTGTGACTTCGTAGATGCTGAAGCAGCTCATCCGAGGTAGAGAATCTCTTGCCGCAGTAAGCGGTGTCACCGGCGATCCAATTGCAAACGTAGGGAAGCTGGGAGGCCGCCGCGAGGGCAGCCAGTTGCGCGTGAGCGTAAGCAGCGGCTGCTGGATTGTGTGCGCCCAGAGGTCCATAGGGCGAAGCTCCTGGTTTGTGGTCGCACTGGGCGCAGCCGGCGGGGCAGGACCCGGCGCTCGTGGTAGGCATCTTCGAGGCAGTCGAGGTCGCCAGAAGATGGGAGTTCAGCTGGCACCCGGTACAGTAGGGATCGCGACAGACGGGCACCAGGGTATCCGCCCCGCTGGAGGTCTTCATCCGTGCATACCCAAGGTAAGGATTAGCTGCCAGACCGTTCTTGAGTGCCGCGTGATGCTGGGACATGAGGGAGCTGGCCATTACGTCTATGGGAAGCTGAGGCGGATATCCCAGGTAGCCGGCGGACGTGGACGTGGGCAACGTGGATCCCGGCTTGAAGGTTCCCAGAGGAAGGTCCTTGATGGCAGGGTCGGTCATCGCGAGGACTCCCGCGGGGCTGTAGGCAGGCTTCGACTGTAACGAGGGGCTGCTGGCTGACGGCTGAGATGACGATGGCTCAGTGGTACCTGCTGTCCTGGACGACGGCGATTCGCGGGTCGCTTCGCCGTTTGGGGTCGCGGTCTTTCGACCCTGCGGGGTCGCGGCTCTCGTCGACGAGGCGCTCTGATTGCTCGAGCACCTCTTGCTGCCGCTTCCGGGAGTTCGGGCTCTTCCGGAAGACGAGTGGCTCGACGGGGCCCGTTGCTGCTCCTCGGGACTGGAGGCCTTCTCTCGGCCCAGGCAGGACTCGTAAGGCTTGAAACTGGACTTGATGCCTTCCGATGGCGCCCCGCTTCCTGGCGATGACTTCTCGCGGGACTGCTCCGAGGACTTTGACGATTTTACGGAGGACTTTTCGTGCGGAGCCAGAAGAGATTTACTGGCTGGCGGATCCGCTCCGATCTGGCTGCATGTCTGTGCCAAGAGAGCGAGTGGACTTTTCTTAGCGTCGAGCTGCAATCAGAAAGAATAAGGAAACACGTCAAATAACCAGTTCACCGGTCATCGTCTATTTTGCTGGCTCTGATGCGTCTTCCTGATCCCGATCGAGATCAGACCGAACCTGGACCAACTGACTCCTATTCGCAAACGGCCTTTAACTCGCAGCCTGGCCACTCGTAAGAAATCTATGACGAGGTCAGTTACATTCAGCGTATATCCCCGTGTAACCTCATTGCATAACTAGCCGATCATTTTCTTTTTTTTCTTCATTGCACCGGTCAGACGTGCCAACGTTCACAGTGCTGGATTAAAATTACATCGGCACTTCAAAGTGAACACGCTAACCAATCATTTTACATAATGATCTACGGTTTTTATTGCCTACGCACGAAACAGGCTTCGAATTCAAATAAAGCGTATAACATGCAAAAATAACAATGTCATTCAAATTAAACGACTTGAAAAAAACCAACCTGACACAAAATCAATTTCACGTTATTAACAGTCACGCAGTCATTTCTAATTCGATACACGATTCCCCCTCCACCAATTGCATGTATACAAAGTAATAAGAATATTTTCAAAACACGTTTCTCGTTCTTTTAACGTCCGAAAAAAAGAACAAGTCGCATAACAATCGTTCGTCGATAAAGTCGATGCATTGATTGAGAGGAAAAAAATCAATTGAAAATATCAAAATAATCAGTATAAGCCTGCCCGGCCATAACGCGCGAGCTGTATTGATCAATTGGCGAAATCCAAAATAATCGCGTTAATCTTGGACTTCGGTAGGAGAGAAATGCCAGAGCGATGGGAATTTTCGATAACCGCTTGACTTTACCTGGACGTAATCGTGCCAGCAATGTAACGGCGGCGCGTTAATGTCAGCATTTAATATAATGTTATCTCGTTCAACTAATTCTCGTGGGACAGCGTGGCGCGGGTCCAACGTTTTATTCCAGAAGGCAACTAATCACCGGCTACCCGCGGTGCACCGTTGACAGGTATTAATCTAGCTGACTGTAACTCGACAGTTTAATATCAGACGTAGATCGCTGCCATTTTAAGTAAGAGCCGTGTTCCAGTTGCATCCGATGAAAACGGCTAAAGAAAGACGCCGTTTGATACAACGGCGAAAGCATTTCTTTTTATTTTTCGTTTTTCCAATTCAAAAGCACCAACAGAATTAAATTATACGGTTAACCGTATACAGCGTGACCTGACAACTCGGTAGATGGTGAATAATGAATTTTTGAAAATACAATTTAAATATCCTAAGAACAGGGTGGCTGTGAAAAGAAATTTTTTAAATTGCAACGTTGCTTTTTATACCATGCAAATTTCCAGTTGCCAAACGACGATCCGTCCGTTCGTCAATTGATCTTTGAATCGCGCGCCATGCTGCACGTATACAGAAATATGCATTACACCAAGTGAACTGGACTTGATTTATGTTGGGCATAAATCAACGTGCAAGCAGAAACCCTGGCAGCGCTCGCTGTCCCCGAAATAGTTTACAGGAGTCGGAATAACGCGATGTAATCCATGCCCAGTCGGCATTGATTGAATGGTGTCATGCAATCTTAATGAACTATTGAAAATACGAACTCGTCCCTCGATTCGAAAGTAACAAATGACTCATCTATGCTCCTTAGGTATTTCTACGTAGAACCTATAAACAACCGCGATACGATCTCTCGACTTCATTCTTATTCCCATCGTGTTTTCGCCAAACATGCACAGGATTTTCAAACCGTCTTTACCTTAGGCGGTAAAGCCTACGACATTCGACATTTCACGACGCACCATTACTGCCGATCGGAACAATTGCAGGTAAATTTTTGGACTTTTTATTGGTCAAAATTCAAGATTAAAAAACACGTCTACGTTTCTATGGTCTGATGAAGATTAAAATACAACAGAAATTAATACTCCTTACAATCCCGATGACATTTTACTACCAGAGTATTTGTCTACGACAAAAACAATGGAAATTAGAAAAAGAATATTACAATCTACCCAAGTATAAGGATCGATCAGTCCGGCACGATTCACTTTCTTCAGGTATCCAAGTAAAAAAAGAAAAAGAAAATACCGGTGATTCACCCAAAATCACATGCTCACGTAACCACAGTACGAAACAATGAAAAATCGCTGACTAACCGTAGTGGGCAGAGGTGTAAGATATTCCGGACGGAGATACTGGTTAGCGCTGGAGGTCAGCATTTTAACACGAGCCGCTTGCACTTCACTTTCGCCCACTTCTCACAGCACAAAGCACGTAGAAATAGGTGAATAAATATATCACTAGGAAACCTATATCCGTGGAGATGATGTCGCAGTAAAGTCACATGAGAACGCTGCCATTCGTGACTTCATGAGAGAGTCACGTTCTCGTTCATATATATATATATATATATAGTGGTACAATGTATATTCCTTTTGAGGGAGAAAAAAATCCAAAAAATAATCACTGCGCGTAACACCGGCAGTATACAAAACCAACGTACATACGTACTTCCTTCGCGGAATCGACCTCTCGACACGAACTCCGAATCGCGACTGCTCCTACGTCACTTCTGGCTCTCTTCCGTCCCTACCCCAGCTGACTATCCCCACCACTCGACACCTGGGATTCCCCCACTTCCCTCCCTGACTTCCTTCTTCTCTGTCGGCGCGACATGGTGTCGCTCGTGTCTCGGTGCTCGTTGTCAGTTCGCGCCCTGCCGACACTTTTGCTGCGCGCAACCGACCTGGCCAACGACGTGTCAACTTCATCCGAACCCTGTGCCTTCTGGCCCCTCGCATCCACCGTCAACGTTCGCGTATCCCTGGGACGGGATAACTAAGAATTTCAACGAGTCTCGCTATTTTAATAGCCACTGGTTGAATTATTATGAATATGAAAATAATTTCAATTATTTATAAAAAAAAATTTTTACCTTATTAATTTTTCAAGGTTTATCAATTATTGCTATGAAATTTTTGAATATATTTCCAAATTTTTTACGTGTCTCAAAATCAAATTTATGTACTTGATATACTTACCATTGATGAAAGCTGCTGTTTTACGTGGAACGAAAAGGGATACGAATTATTTCGAAACTGTTATAAATCCCTTGAACAATTGCGACTTCGGGTTACATTCCTGTTTACCCGATCCTCGGGGTCCTTTGTCGTCGACGAACGAAGACTGGTGGTTCTATTGAGTCGACCGGGGAAGACATAAACAATGACGATTTTCTCACAGTGAAATTGTTTAAGCTTCGTATCAAAGAGAGTGAACACTCATTGTATTGAGGTTCGTTCCAGGACCGAAGCTACAGACGGGTAACAATGTCGGCTAAAATAAATAAAATACGTAGCACTGTGTATATATTTTATTTGCTTTTGAGTAACGGTATAAGTTTACGAGAGGAGAGAGAGAGAGAGAGAGGAAAAATTTATGAGGACAATAAGAAATAATATTTTACGACGACAATCTCATACTTAATCACTTTAAAATTACCGACGGAGCTCTATTGATTTAAATTTCTCATAACGGCTCACGATAATTAAAAATACAATTACCGTTACTTCGTCCAATAATACTTTTATGTGTCTCTCTCTCTCTCTCTCTCTCTCTCTATATATATATATATCTGAAGGGCACTTTCAGTCTATAAATTCATAAATGTAATTCAAAGCAAAATGAATTAGCCAGCACAAACCATTAAGCAATCGATTCTACGCTTCTACCCTACTAATTCTCTTTTTTCCTCTTTTCTCAAGAAAACCCACCACCATTTCTACCTAGTATTCCACGGCACGCTGATGCTTCGAGGGTAGTTGTTAGATACGAGCAATTTCCTTGGGAGAGCATTAGCGGTGTTATTAGCGCTAGTTAGAGGATACGTGTTGGTGAGAGACGAGAGGGCTGTATAATTATCCGACGTTTGCTCGCTGTTCGTTTCTAACATACGAGAGCGACGTGTTTACGTGGCGCCGAATGAGCGACCGCGCGCCTTGCGTTTTCTCTGGCATCCGCCATCATGCCTTCACCTTAATGGACTGACGAAAGACACGGCACAAGTCAAATAGCTGACTAATATTAATTCTTTAACGCTCCTTGATGATAGTCGACGATATCCCGTGAGTCATGCGACACGGATTCCTCCAAGCGTAGGATAGACAATCCAAGCGAATATAATTAAAAAATAATTTTTGAATAAAATTTTTTTTCAATATTCATTTTGCACGGTTAAAAAAATTTTTTTTTTTACATTTACCAATAGTAAATTCCAGCTAATTAACAACGGCGCGACAAGTTCGCGTATTGCGGCTACGGATCGATTTTTCCTAGAAAACATTACGAGCATCGGCGGTTTTCCAATCACGCAGTAGCTCTAATCGACACTTAATGCGTTTTGACATTCGAAATGCGAATCTTGGAAAACTCCATGACGACTTGCCAAGAGCGTTCAATTTTCCCGTACGTAAGCGCTTGACATTGCCAAATGCCGAAGGATATAAATAACACGAGGATACCATAAGGAAAGAAATTGTGTTATTACAAAAAATTACCATTGTTATTTAATTGGCCAATCCGACCGATACGACGTACGAGAATGAAAAAAAAATAAAAAAAATGACGAAACAATAATACGTCACAAAGCACCGTCTCCCGGGTTATTCCCTGCCTTAAATCGTTCTCGAGCACGTAAACACGTGAGTCATTAAACCACGAGGAAAGGGAGCATTTAGTTATCAGTTGCCAAATCGAAACGTCATTCCGAACTGTCAGACTCCAATCGATTCTATTTGCAGCCACACAAAACGCTGATTGACACCTCGTCATTCCTGAATCAGTCGCGCCACCAAGGCATCTGCCTGATGCCAAAACAATGTCAACGGCTCGTTCGCACTCAGCGCCGAACAAGTTGAACAATGCTCGGAGATGAAAGGTCGACATAGAATTCGAGCAAATCATACCTCTTGAATTACCAAGTCAACGCGAGATTCTCGAACATGACGATCGGCCTTTGTTACACGTTCGCCAATTGGTAATACAAACTGGTACTGTTTCTTTTTTTTCATATTTTTTCCACGTGAATCAATGGTCAACAAACGAAACAGCTTTATACGTATGAAAATCGATTAACGCTCTTACCCTTTTTTTTCCACTTTAAAATTGAATACAACGTGTCCCTGGTCGAACGCCTCCTTTTTTTTTTCTGTCAATTGTAAATCAGTCCCATCGATCGGTCCTCTCGACGGATTTACGCCAGCGAAACGTTGGCTGTGTATATTTATTTTTTTGTTATTGTCGCTGACAGCTCTGACGTAATCGCGAACTGACAGCTGTCAATTTTAATTATGAAATTTTAGCCATTACATCGACAACGAAGTTCACCCTGTACGTTAATATAAATGTACTAGTGGGTACTGTACCAACTGTAAAAAATTATCATGATCACTGACGTACTTCCGGTTAAACATCCTACCGTATCCCATACGAGCGAGTTACGTTGGTCGCACGTGAATTTTCGTACGATCGACGTGTGACGTAGCAGCCGACCAACTCGAAACGTACGTTCGCCATTGCCGTTGATGCTGCGTCAACAGTGATAAATGGATTTATATGAATTTTGATGATAAAGCAACACTATCGCATTATGGGGCGGAACGAAATATAAAATATGATGTACGAGTCGAGGGGGATAAGCCGGGAGTGTCTGTCAGGCAATAGCAGTGCCAAAGGCGTCCGATGCTCTTTGAGAGTCCCAAGTTTTAGGCACTATAGGGGTGGGG